GTCTGGAACCAGCTTCCAAGTGAGGTGGTGCAGGCTCCCACCCTGGGGGTTTTTAAGAGGAAGTTGGATGACCACCTTACTGGGGTCATTTGACCCCAGTGCTCTTCCTGCCATGGCAGGGGGTCGGACTAGATGATCTGCTCAGGTCCCTTCCGACCCTAGAAACTATGAAACTATAAGGAACATAGCTTTCACAGCACTTGGTCATCACAGAGAAACAGGACATTCCGAGTTAGGAAGACAAACTCCAGGGCTTTCAACTGGACTTGATTTTACTCGCAGTGGAATCAGTAGCACAGACCTCACGTGCCCTGAGCTACCCTTGCTGCTGAGAAGACCATTTCCTCCATTCTGGGCTAACTGAAATAATTTTCACAGTTAAGAGTACTAATATTTAGGCATAGTGAGCTGCAATAGTTTAATCTGAAAGTCAAAGGCTGTGTCTACACATTGTCCTACAGCAATGTAGTGACACACTACACTGCCATATGGCGTGCTACGGTGATGTAGCAATCACATGTCTACTTGGGATTTCCAGCTACGTCCTCAAAGTGGCACGCTCCCTGAGTATAGTGCACTGCTATGGTGATGTAGCAGTGAAATCTAACCGTGCACTGTGGTGCAGTAACCGCCTGTACTGCGCCAAAAGGAAGAACTAAAACACAGCGCTGTAGCAACATTGCCATAGGGCAATGTGTAGATGCACCCGAAAAGAGCAAACAGTGTGGAAGGCCTATGTTCAAAAGGATGAGGCATGATCCTCTGGCTATTCAGAAATGAAATTTTTTTTTTCTTCAACATCTGTGTCTACAACAGCAGTAATGAGGAGATCAGAAGATCACAATCTAATAGTCTACACAGGAGACTCTTTTGACAGATAAAAATTATGAATTTTTAGGTCTTCAAAATATTTTGCTCCGTTTATCATGATTCATCTCTGGCTCATTCAGTGTTCATCTTCATCCAGCTGCCTCGTCTGCATAAGAATGTCAATCAAGCAGAGGGCCAGCTGGGAGACAGTGCTATCTGAAAATGGAAGAATGATTATCATCTGATTTGTGTAGTGCTGATATACAAGTCCAAGGAATCTTAATTCCTCTTTTAAAAATTAACTCAAAATATTGAACAGTTTGGTGGGGGGGGGGG